GACTGTGAAATAAATTCTACAAAAGCAGGGTTCTAAGCTGGGGAATTCTGAAGACATTAGAGAAAAGCCCTTATGTCCTGAGCCAGCGGAATAGGATGGTATCTGGAAGAGCAGGAGGGGTTATGTGGGGAACAGCATGCACGGTGGCCTGGTGTTGAAAGAGCTCCATGCCTTGGGGGAGCTGAGTGAACATTAGGATGGCTAGAATGCAGAGGTCAAGGGGGAAGAGGTCAGAAAGGAGAGATCTGACCTGACCAGACAGATGATGCCTTTGTTCACTGCATCCCTACCCCAGTCTCCTGCTAAGGGTAAGTGCCACATGTAAACAGTTCCTGAGGTATGGTCTGTGTGGGGTGGCTGGCCCAGCTGCCAATTCTGTGTTCTGTTCATGGCAGATAACTCAACCTAGTCATTAAAAACTAGGAAACACCAACTCTGAAAATGATTCATCTTCTCAAAAGATGAAAAATTTTTAAACATCATCGGTCTTTTATGTCAATGAAAACATCAAGAACACCGGCTGGGCGCAGTGGCTCATGCCTGTAATCTCAGCACTTTGGAAGGCCAAGGCGGGTGGATCCCTTGAGGCTAGAAGTTTGAGACTGACCTGGCCAACATAGAGAAGCCCTGTCTCTACTAAAAATACAAAAAGTTCGCTGGATGTGGTGGTGCACACCTGTAATTCCAGCTGCTTGGGAGGCTGAGGCACAAGAACCACTTGAACCCAAGAGGTGGAGGTCATGCCACTGCACTCCAGCCTGGGTGACAGATCCCAGACCCTGTCTCAAAAATAAAAGTAAAAATAGAAATGTGATTGTCAAATGTTTTTCCTCAACATATTTTACTGTGTAAACAAGGGCCCCCCATTTTCTCATCCCTTTTGCCCACCAGCGGTTCCCATGCATCACTACAAAAAACAAAGCTATTGAAGAGTTCATCATTTGTTTGCTGTTCATCCCTCTAATCCTGTCCAAAACTGAGAGCATATCGTCAGATAGCTGTTAGCTACTCGAATTAGTTTTGTCTTCCTCCCTTCAGTCTGGTTGTGGTATTCATTTGAATTACAGATTTGTTTCAATTCATTTTCAGTTTAGGAGTATTTTCCCTTCATCTCATCCTTATGGACTTAATTAAAAAAAATTTAAGGTGAAGAGCATTAACATGGCTCCCAAAGTCAAACTGTAGAAAAAGATGTACTTAAGAGTGTCACTGCAACCTTGATTCCTTCTGCCTAATTCATTCCCGCCACTTGTTTTCTGCTTTTAGATACATCCTAGAGAAATATGGGCACTTTATTTCCCAGTGTGAGCAAAGGGTAGCACACTGTATTTGCCTTTTGGTTTTTTTCCAGGCACTTCTTATTTATTTTTTGGTCAGACACACCATAATCAAAATTCTGGTTTGGAACAAGAAGCCTCCTAGCTTATAACAGTTGTTGGATTTTTAATCACTTGCAAAAGTCTGTTGGTTTCTACCAATAGATTTATTAAATAAGCTTTGTAAAACAATCTGTTAGTAATAGGATTCTTAGAATATGATGAATTCTTATGCAAAGTGGAGTAATTTTTTTTTCCATCATCATGAAGTTGGATAGACGGTGACTTGGACTTGAGGTGGGATTTCAGGATCAGAGGGTCAGTTGTGATGGGAATGGGTTTTTTCTGAACTGAGCAGACAGTGTACAGGGTTGGCAGTGAGTTTGCTGGCTCACTGTGGTCACTCTGAGCCTTAGGACCCACGTGTCCTTCTAAGTGTCCCCCAATCCTGACGGATTTGTGGCAGCTTAGAGCCCACTCACAGCTAGTGCTAATTTTTCTACCTTTGATATTTGAGAAAGCTCTTCCATTTGCCTTTTAAATGTCTCTCTTATGTCTGGATTCAGCAACTATTCTGCATTGGAACTTCACGTTGATACCGCCCTTTATGCTTTTCAAAGCCGCATCTTACTGAATGCTTGCTTAATCCCTGTGAAACATCAGAATGGGTATTGTTGTGTCTGTTTGCAAGTGAGAAAACTGAAGCTCAGAACACAACAGCGGCAGGGCTGGGACCAGAAGCCAAGCCTTCAGACTAGAGTGGTGTAGGAGGGCCAAGGCTTTATCTGGGTTTATCACAGGGACTCTGCCTCCCTGCCCGCTTCCTCCATCCTGCCCCATGGCCAACAGATTTTTACTGCATAATTCTTACCTCTGTCCACATCAATAAATGTTACCTGCCTGCTAAGTGTTCGGTCATTCAGAACTGTCTAAAATCAGTTCAGAGGGTCTGTATCAGCAGCTTTGTTAGATGAGCTTTTGTGATAGTGACCATTATTATGAGTGGGTCATAAAGCAGGACTTGGCAGGGTTTTTTACTCTTAGGAATTTTAGTCAGAGTAGGGTTTGCTTATGCCTGCTTAACTGTGTCCCAGTAGCCAAAAATGTGCAGTAGTGATGCAGCTTGTTAGAAAGGGGATTTTTATATTTGTAATGTTAAAAATGCATAAAATATTATGAAACAAAATTACAAAGATAGTAAGAGTTACCCTGAGAAGCTTAAGGACATTCATTTTATAATAAATGTATAAAATTACATACATTATAAAATGAATGTCCTTAAGTTTCTCAGGGTAACTTCTTTACTATCTTCATAATTCTTTCACAAGAACCCATATATAATATGGACCCAAAGTAAGAATACCTTGTTTGTATGTAACCATCTGAATTTAGTATGTTAAGTTCAGAATCAATACATGCAAACAGATTTGTACTAGGATACTTTTTTGATGAATAATAGAGCTGAAGGTCCACTTTTCTTTACAGTGTGTGTAAGAAAACAGATTATATAATTCATTTTCCTACAGGCACATGACATTCCAAGCCCTCTTAGTGTTGCTCAGGGATGTGATTCTGGATTGAGTGTGACTTTTTCAGAGTTCAGAGAGTCATTTGGTGAATTTACCTAGAGCTGAGTTATGTACTTCCATATGTCGGGAATCCCCGGAGGTCTAGAAACCCCAAACTGTTCTTAGGGTGTGGTGTGTGTGAACAGCAAGACACTGGAGTCCTTATTTTTTTTTTTTTTTTTTTTGAGACAAGACGTGTTCTTTGGGCTGGGAGGTCAGGGCACGTGTCTGGGCTTGATTGACTCCTGCTCACTCTTTAGATCCACAAAGCCTTGCCTCCTTCCTTTGTCACAGTGGTGCAGTGGAGACCACTCAAGGGCCAAGCATAGGTTCCAGGGAGTCTGAACAGAGGGGAGATCCTTTTATTTTATTTTTTCTTTTTTCAGGTGGAGTCTTGCTCTGTTGCCCAGGCTAGAGTGCAGTGGTGCTATCTCAGCTCACTGCAACTTCTGCCTGACTGGGATTCTTTCTAATTGTGGGCAGAGGGTAGCACTTGGTGAGGATTCCAGTGTCTTATCTGAAGTATTAGTGTCACTGGGTGTGCAAGCATCTGTTCAGCCCCTCGACATCCTGGAGTTGAGGGAGGGTTATAAATACGGGGTTAGTTTTGTTTTGTTTTGTTTGAGATGGAGTCTTGCTCTGGCACCCAGGGTGGAGTGCAGTGGCATGAACTCAGCTCACTGCAACCTCCACCTCCCAGGTTCAGGCAGTTCTCCTGCCTCAGCCTCCCAAGTAGCTGGGATTACAGGTACATGCCACCATGCCCAGCTAATTTTTGTATTTTAGTAGAGATGGAGTTTCAGGGTGTTGGCCAAGCTGATTTCGAACTCTTGACCTCAGGTGGATTACCTGCCTCAGCCTTCTGAAGTGCTGGGATTACAGGCATGAGCCACCATGCCCGGCGTGGGCTAGCTTTATGAAAGCAGATCACTTCCCCATTCGTCAGTTGTGTGGGTTGGGTTATTGAGGTAGGACCCTGAAAGATAGATGCACTGGCTTTGACTTGGAATGCATGCAAGAAGGCAGACAGAAGAAACCCGTGTCAGAATCTCAGGATCTGTGTTCAGAAACTGCATTGCTGTCACCTCACCTGCTTTCTTAGCAGCTTTTTAAGTGTACTTACTCATATCTTGGCTCCTGTAACAACTCACGGTTGGTGATGCAGATGGTTCCTCGTACATAAAAATAGGATAATCATCCACCTGACTCTGAGGCTTGCCTGAGTGAATGTGGGGTTTGTATATATGCATAGATAGAGGCTTGCACACATGGTGGAAGGTAGCACAAACAGCCCGCAGTTGGGAGCATTTACCTGTCTGCCAGAGCCTTTCCAGGGCAGGTGTTCCCACAAATGGGTAGCAAATCATATGCCTCTTCCCCTCCTGCAGGGAAGACTTTTGGGGGAAGACCATGGCAAGTAGCAAGGGTTAAGAAAAATGGTAATGCTTCAGTGCTTGAGTTCCCATCTGGGAAGGGAGAACTGGGTTGTAGAGAGGGTGGAGACTGCCCTGACTCTGTCCACTGCTGTGGCCCAAACCTGCAGGTGATGGGTAGAGAAGCCTAGTGTGGGCACCAGCAAGGACTGCCGTTCCCTCAGAGCCCTTGGTTTGGACAAAAGGGGCAGCACACAATATTAATGCGGAGTGTTGCCCAAAAGCATTGAAGAAGCCCTAACCTTGGTACTCTTTGACCACAGCTTGGCCTACTTGGGTTCCTTCTGTTTGAGGTGTGATGTTGGGTATCTGAGGAGGCTCTGGGGCAGGTGGGGTGTCTCTGAGTTCAGACCCCTGGTTGGGGGGTGTCAGAGGCCTACCATGACAGCGCATGGTGTTTTGGGCCCAGGCCCCTTGGCATGGCTGTCATCTGAGGGGAGTTCATTTTCTAAGAAGTGATGCATGTGTGTTGATGAGGGCTCTGCGACTCTGACCCCCACAATCTTGCTTGGGAAGACACTGTCTTCTGTCCTGTCCACGTGTGTGGCTCCATTGCTGTGCTCATGTGGCTGTACTCGGTGCTGTGCGTCCTGCCACAAGACCATTGTGCAGCAGGGCAGCGGCTCAGGAGGCAGGTCCCCAAGGATGCCCTGACATGCTCTTGTCATCTTTGCCTCCTTCAGAGAATTTTCAAAGGAAAGAGAGAAAGCAAAAGCACGGGGAGATTTCCAGAAGCTCCGGGAGAAACAGCAGCTGGAGGAGGATCTAAAGGGCTACTTGGATTGGATCACCCAAGCTGAGGACATTGATCCCGAGAACGAGGAAGAAGGAGGAGAGGAAGGCAAACGAAACAGTATGTAGAGCCCTTCCTGCCCCTGGCTAGACAGACTCACTGTGTGGCGCAGACGCCTGGCAGCAGGCCTTTGCTCAACTTTGACCCAGGCTGTGAGCGGGACGGCCTCCTCCCAGCCATCTGGTCCCTTCTGCCTGCACACATCACATCCCAGAGAGAACAGGCGCGCCGGCGCTGCCTCTGGATTTCTGCCTGAGGTTTGGAGTTTAGAGTCGTATTTGGTAAGATGGCTTTACAGTCAGGGAGGGTCAGAGGGGCCCACCGTTGTTCTGTGGAATTCAGTAAGCGCATTTCCTTGCAGGCACGGGGGTGATGAGACGTATTTTTGCACCGCAGGAGAGGAAGCTGTGGTTTCCCTCACCTCAATATGAGCAGTGTTATTGGGCAAGAATTTGAAGGGCAGGGTTCCTCTCGACTGTCACTCTTAGGCCACCTGATATGGCTCCTACCTGTGCTATTCATGTGAAGCCATATGCTTAGCCCATCGGGCTGGGGGGAAACTGGCTCACTGTTCTAGGCAGGTGTTAAGGGGCATGTGAGTCAGTGATGGCTGCTTTGCAGCCCACCCACCGACACCCCACACTGTGACACGAGGCACGCGAGAGCACTTTCTGCAGGAGGCGAGGCCTGAGAACTCCGTCAATCACTGAAATTAATTGCCGTTGTCAACCACAGTGTCTCATTCACCATATACTTTCCCCACAGATGTGCTTTTATTCTTTCTGGGACCCTCTATGCCTCAGGTCAGAGTGGAAATTGGAATCCAGTGGAGCATTTGACTAAGATGTCTGTGACTTGTTTCAAATCTGGAAGTGCTGGATAGGAAGAACTGAGAAAACATGTCAAGGGCACATAGCCATTGAGAGGCTTAGTGGACCCGAGGCCGGCCCTGCATTGTAGGGGATGGCTGCGCAGGTCCCTGCTTGAGCAGAGGGCCTTGGATGTTGTACTCTCAGCAAGGCCTGTTGCTGGGTCCAGGGCAAACCCGGAGCTGGAGAGCATGTGGAGTGGAGTGCTGTCTCCTAGGGAGGGGCAGGCCTGCTCACAGTAAACGCAGCACCAGGGAGCAGAGCTGGAGGGCACATCGGGGCTTGCGTGCTGCGCTGAGGGAGCTGAGGAGGGATCGAGAACAGGGCTTGGGGGAACATTCGGCCTGGGCCCTGAAGTATGCATGGATTGCAGGTGTGACCGTTCAGTGTCACACCTGCGATGTGACACTGGGGACTGGCATGAGGGAGGTGGGGAGGTGGGCAAAGGCCAGGTTTCAGCGAGGAGGCGGTGGGCCCTTTGACTGGAGCACAGAGGGGATGAAGGTCGGGGTGAGCTGCAATAGGAGGGGAGGGTGAGGTGCAATTGTGCGTCCTCTTTGGATTGTGGAGTGTGGAAGGCGGAGCTGAGAGACCCCTGGTGGAGGGGCCCTTACCTTTCTTCAAACCTGGGCTCTTGACCTCCATGGGGAGGGAGTGTTCTGCGATCTCAGATATCGCAGCTGGTGCAAACCTGTGTGCTGACTGGGAGCGAGCAGGGTCAGGCCCTGCTTCCCTACCTCCCTGCTTCTTGCCAGGCTCAGGAAGGCACCAGGGTTCAGACCTGAGGATCAGAAGACTGAGGGAGGGTTTCTAGAGCTGTTTGCTGAATGCAAGTTCAGAGTTTATAAACAGACATTCATTTGAGTCTCAGCCTCGGCGACGTGCCTTTGAAGTGACTAGATGTCAGTGTCTGCCTGTCCTCTGCGCAGCTCTCCCCGCGGCAGTCGAGCCGACCCGAACCCCGTGGCCTTCGCAGAGTTTCTGCGCCTGCCGTGTTGCAACAGGCCACGCAGGTGCAGCTTGGAGGTGCCTGCCCAGCTCTTTTCTCCTTCACTTGCAAACTGTGACTCAGATGCTGACCTGCCTCGGAGGTCCGCTGGCCACCTGCCTCAGCCCTCCTAAACCCAACGTGTTACTTCTGAACGAGAGGATGTATGGCCACTTTTTCTCGGCAGAGCACCTTTCTTTGCTAGTTGAGCCGCGTCCCCCAGGGAGCTGAGTGAGGCCTTCTTACAGGCCAGTGGCCTTCCCCCTGCTTCCTTCTCCTCCTCTAGAAATACACAAGGATTTGTGTTCTCGTGTTGCTAGCATCAGTCATGGTAGAGTCGTTTATAGGGCCTGTGATTTGGGGATTAAGGGTTTTCGTTGGATTTAAGGTGATAGCTTGAGGGTTAACCATTTTATCTCAGCCCAACTAAGACCTGCCACCGTGAAGAACCCGATGACAGAGATCACTGTCTCTGCCTTTCAGAGAACTTTCCATGAGGGGAAGATGGAGGAGCGGCTTAGTGTGAGACAGAATGGAGAAGCTGGTCCCATCGTTAAGGCGCAGCACTCTGCTGTGTGAGCCCAGGAGATGCTGGCTGGGGGGAGTGGGCGGCCCGGGCTATGTGAGGAAGGCTCTGTGGGAGGAGCAGTCCTGGGCGTTAGAGGGTGGGCATGGGAGCTTTCATGGGAGCTTTTTGAAGCTGGGGAAACGGCACGAACAAGGTGTGCAAGGTGACACATATTCAGGGCCCTTAAATGCATTGCTCAGTAAACTAGGAAAGAAACGAAACCCTTTTAAAAGTCTTGTAGATCCTCAGAATTCCCTCTCACTGGGGCTCCCAAGCCCATAGAGCTGCACTGTGTCTTTAGAACATCAGCGGCATTGTTTCTGCTCTGCACAGTGACATGTGACTCAAAATGATTAATTCGCTTCACATTTGATCCAATATTTCTGTGGTGCCTCCTTGTCCTTTATGGAGCTCATTCTGCCAGGTGCTGGAGTTTCCTGTGGACTGAGGCGCACAGTACTTCCCGAGTTGTCAGATTTCCAGAGCCTTGATGAGGGTTTTAAATAAAGACAGAAATCTTAGGCTGTGGGAGCCATGACGGGATTTAACTGACTTGAGAGCCCCAAATCTCCTCCTCCTCTGAGGAGGGAACCTCTCTGATCATAGACCTCAGCAGCCCAGACCCTCTGGAGAAGCCAGCGCTGTTGAGGTTTCCCTGGGGCCTCCTGTGGCTGCCAGCCATTTTCTTCTTGTCACAGCCAGAAAACCACATGAGGAGCGGGTTTCAGTGAGGCTCAGTGGTTCTCCTCACCAAATAATCAGTCCTGGATTCACCACGTGCACATGCCAGGCCTGCGGCCATCTTTGTGCATCTGATTGGCAGGCAGAAGTGTGGGTGTTGCCAGTGTTATGGTGTTTGCATCCTCCCTGGGGGTGTGAGATCACCCTGCCTGCCTTTCCCTCCACCCCTGCTCCTCTATTACCTCTGGGGAGGAGGATGGTGCAGGGCCCAGGCTCCTGACTTGGTCCATAGTGGCTAAGGATGCTGATTCAACTGATAGCTTTTTCAATTGGGTCCTGGATGTCAGTTGAGCAGTTTCCCCCCAGACCTTGAGGAATGAAGTGACATTGTGAGAAGATGCACTTCCTGATAGTGGAGCCTAAGCCTAGATGAGCAGAGGTGGGAGTAGGAAGTCATTAATAACAGCAGATGTCTGTGAACTCAGAGGAGGCAAAGGGTTAGGCTGGAGGGCGTCATGAGGCGCCTTCACTGGATGTGGCTGCAGTTGAGTTTTGTGACTTGGAATTTGTACTTCAATGTTAGGCAAATCAATCAACCTCTCTGAGCCCCATTTTCCTTGTCTACAAGAAGAAGATAAAGATGCGTCTTTCAATGAGGCTGTTGTGACAACTGAATGTTCCGTGACTGGCAGAAGTTGTCATAGTTGTAGTACTTGCTGTTGCTGTCTTCATCAGATGCTGGTAAAACTTGACCTCAACAGAGTTTTGGGGGTATAAATTTAGGGGTACAAGTACAGTTCTGTGACATGGATGTATTCCATAGCAGTAAAGCCTGGGCTTTTAGTGTAACCATCACCCAAAGAGTGCACATTGTACCCCGTAAGTAATTTCCCAGCCCGCACCCCTTGTCCACCTGCCACCCTTCTGTGTCTTCAGTGCCTGTTATTCTGTCCACACCTATGTCCATGTGTATACATTATTTAACTTCTGTTTATCAGTGAGAACATGCAGTATTAGACTTTCCTAACGTCTGCTAGACCTCTAACCAGCTCAGAGTGGGGCCTCCCTCTTAGGACCATTGCCCTGTACTCTTCTGTCCAGAAACTGTAAAGTTCTGAAGCATTGATGGAAAACAAATCTGTTAACTAGGTCACTTTCTAGATAGGGCAGCACAGCTTCCTGGCTCTTGAAGTCCATTTCTAGTTTGGCGGTGCTTGCTGTCAGAGAACAGATGTCAAATCAAGTACTTGGAGATGCACTCACATTATCTTTTCTCTCTGATCTGCTAAATGTCACTGCCTGCATCTGCAATGCCCAGCGCTGGCTCCACGTTATAATCACCTGGGGAGCTTGGATGCTTCTTGATGCCACATGCCACCCTCTAAGACTCTTGATTAATTTTAGGGTGGGAGCCAGGGGTGGCTCTTTTTCATTAAAATTCCCTGGGGATTCTAATGTGAAGCTAGGGTTAGGAACTCCTGAGTCCAGGGTGCTTTCAGTGGCTGAATATCACACTGTTCCAGGCATTCACTTTAAGAAAAGGAGAGGTAATCAGGCCTCTAACTGAGCTGTCTGGTGACTAGGGACAGGTAGCTCCAGCTTTGTACATTCATAGAATATTTAAAATGCCAATTTCATAAATTTGCTGTTGGAAAGCTGCTGTCACACAGTTAACTGAATGGACAAAATTCCCTTTCAAGTGAGTTCCTGAGCATTTGGTAAAATTTCAAGGATAATTTATTTAACTTTTTGCTGAGCTTCAAGTTTCTTAAGAAACCCTGCCAAATCTGAAAGTGATTTTTTAGATGTATGCAGCTGCTTCTGAGTTAACAATGGAGGTTTGCTAGGATCGTTAAAATCTGGAAGCCTAGAATTCTATTTTAAACTCTTCTCATTGTCAGTGAATAGTCTTTAAAAAAAAAAAAAAAGCATTAAAAGTAATGAAATTATTTTA